TCAATATATCATTCATTATCCAGATTACATACATTAATACAAATAAAATTTATGTTTAAAAGGTAATAAGTGCATCGTTGGATCTGAGCATATTTGATCCTGGATCCAGCATAGCAGCAGAATTCTATGTTAGTCTGCATGAGCTTATGAATTCTTTAGGTTCTAGAACCACTTTAATATGGAGTGCTGTGGACGTTTTACAAAATGCATGTCATAACACAGCTGCAAGACATGCACTTATTCACACTTACAAATTTGCACCGATATTGGCCAGATTATTGGAGGTATGCACTTGCTTTATCCTTTATATTTCTTAAATAACGTGATCATGTTAAAGTAAAATATTAAACAAATACATACTGTACTTTAGTATTTAAACATCATGATTGCCACATAAAATTTGTGTAGGCAAATTTGACGAGCGAAAAAAGAATACGAGTATTAAAGCTGCTTCAAGAACTGACATACGGAATAAGAATCTCTTGGCAAGAAGCTCATTTACCGTATTTAATATTGATTTTAACACAATGGGTGACGCAATCCAACGAGGACAGCATTATCGCGCTCTCCTTGGGAGTATTAGTAAATCTTTGTTACAAAAATCTTCCTGCGGTGTACACGTTGATGAGAACGATTGATACGAAAGCGTTCGTGAAAACATTATTAAAGCTACAGCACCGTAGTATTAATACCCGTGTACAGTGCTGTAAACTTTTAATCATATTAGAACAAACGAATCCAAATATTTCTGAGAAATATATCTTAGAATTTGCCGCTGCCACATTCGATAATCTCATCGCTGCAATGAAACAAAAAGATGTCTTATTATTGAGACACGTTATAGACTTCTTTAATGATGTTGGACAAAACGAACATTCTCGTTCCGTGTTGCTTACATACACTTGGTAAGTAGTAACGTAATTTTCTATTTTACCTCTAAATTACACTTTGTAAATTCTCAATTTATTTTGTGTTACATTATTTAGTTATGGGAGAGACGTAGAAAATGTATTAGCTACGTTAGGAGATAATGCGGATCCAGAATGTGTTACTCTGCTGATGGAATTCTTAGCATCCCTGGTGAAATTGAAACTATCCGCTTTAGTACCTTTATACCCTTTGTGTGTAAAAACTGCTATGATGTGGGTTCCCGTCGAGCAGGTACAATTTCATCGTATCCAAAAATGTACAAGCATGAGAGTTGTTAAATAATTGTTTTTAAATCAGGTGTGTTCTAAAGCATTGACTCTGATAAGAGTCACAGTAATTGACTCACGACGAACGCAATCATGCTCCGAAGTGCTTGCTGAATTAGACGCTTCAGTCTTGATGCTCATAATAAATATTGAGAACGATCAAGTACAAGGGAAGTGCGAATTAAGTTTGGAGGCAGAAACGAAATTAGCGGAATTGATGCAATTGTTCCAAGAGATGGTTAAAACCCCTGCTCTTAGAACGAAAGTGATGCATTCGTTGAACGAACAGATGATACGAAAATTGTTGAATCCAATGCTGAATTCGGACACGTGCGGAGGCGGCGATTGGCCGGGAAATTTTAATCAAGTATTTTATATTTTATACATTATTAACGGAGTATAGCGTCCTGCAGACTTTACCACTATCTAAATTTTACTCTATATTATTTATAGAATCCTACTACGAACTTGTCCATTCATGCGCTAGCATTAACTGCCGATTTAGCAGCTCATAATTCTCAATGGATGGCATTGTTCATTGAATTACTGCAGAAGAAACAAATTCAGATGTCGATGGCGCATGCATTGTTCGCCGGTGACGCGGACGTTAAACAGAAGGTTTTGCAATTGACGTCTACTGAAGGGTTTCTTCAGGAATGGTAGGTTTTATCTCAATAAATTATTTTTATCGATAAAAACTCTAGATAAATTCATTATTACATACTAATTGTGTCTCATGCTTTTGTATGAGAAGTTTTTCCGAGGTCGCACTTTGTATGAAGCAGCTAGAACCCTTAATATTATTACAAAGCACTCCTGGGACAGTCACGAATATCGGAAGTAATTTGTCCGCAGAAACGAATAGTGAAATGGCGCCGCTATTTTCTTTTGGGCAAGAGGAACGACTCGATGCCTTTTTAGCGAAATTACAAAGAGCTTACGAGTCGAACCAAATCGGTGACATTACCACGTCGGCGGTAATGGAATTGTATGAATATAAGGTAAATGTTCCTTTTAAAATTTATATCTATGTATATGTATATTTATATAAATGTTTATATTATGAACTTCTAATTATTTTATAACGGGTATTTATAAAAGTTAGCTGCTATGAGACACGCGGAACGGGCTATGCAATCGAGTTTAGAGGCGGCGAATAATCATGGTACCAGCTTACAACATCGGCTGGCACAAGTCGTTGCGGAATCGAGTCGTTTGCATCAAATGTTGTTCGATACGCAACAACGCTTGGAAGGTGTTAAGTCGACTTCGACTGCAAAACTTGCTGAAGTGGAGGAACAATGTAAAAAGGGAATCGCTGTTAAGAAACAGGTTGACAATTTTCTTCTTGAACATATGAAATCCTTCTGTATGAAATGTTCCTCGTAAAATATAAAATTTTTATTCGTAGGAAATCGAAGGATTGAAAAAGATAGTAAATGAAAAGTCGAACACCATTGAGCATCTGAATATGATGGTCGCGCAACAGAAACATGAATTGGAAAATAGCAGTATTAAGATCGATAGCTTAAATAAAAAGATAATTGAATTGGAAGTTGAATGCGCGGATGCAGAAATGAGAACAACGGAAATGGTTAATAAAAATCATGAATTAAATAAATTGCTTAAAAAATTGCAGGATCAATTGAACAAAAATAATCAGGTAAGTTTGCTTTTATTAACACAATTATTAGTGGAACTGTTAAACATGATTCAATGAATGTAGGTAATAGAATCAAAAACAGAGGAAATCCAATTGCACCAAAGACGTATATCGGAGCTTCAACAAAAAAATGAGAAATTATCAGAATCAGTGCGTACGTATGAGAAGGAAATTGCCGAGATGGGTGGAACAATTCAGCAATTGAGAGAAGAATTGGTAGATTTAAGTCGTATGCGAGACGCGATATTTCAACTCACTGCTAAGAAAAAAGAAGAAAAGAGCTAATACTTGTAAAAAAAAACTCGTTTTCGACTTATCAAAACTGTTTGATATTAATTTTGAACAAAAGATACTTTCATATTTATATATTTTTCTAATATTTTTAAAATAAGTAATTGGAAAATAAAAATTATGCGTACGTAGATGTATATTATAAAACTAGCAATATTTGAGAGAGTAAAAGCCATAACTGTGTAAGTCATCTCTTGGCCGAGGTCCGACTCGCATTCCTTTTATCATTACAAATATTAATATGTTCAAAGAAAACGTGAGGTAAGTCTTGTTACAAGAACAGCTTTACCATTTCCGTGACTCCCATTCCGAAAAGTGACTTACCCCACTATGACTGCTACTCCTTCATATATTCGTTGCATCATCTATTTTGTAAATATAATTTTACCCTTTATTGTTGTTATTCAAATATAGTTTTACATTTCTAATCTATGTAATACAATATAACTAGCTCTCTAGTGATCTTCTGTTTCCAATAACATTTGCATGCAATTTATATTTTCGTTTTTCGATACGAAAGAAGAAAATATTTATAAATGCAGACATCGATATTTACGCAAATTAGTTACAGTTCTCTTTCCTCCATATCGTATATTACATTAAATGCAGATATTTGTGTTATTGTTATGTATTGTACGCTTTGCAAGTCTCTGAAACAAATACTTTTTAAACATTTATATTACCTAAATAACTTTCGCTACTTTCGATTCACAATTACTCAGATTATAATGCAAATATTGTTTATTTAATTCGTATGATTAAGGGATTGACGTGTTCTAAATATTAAATTAAAGAAATAAAGCAATAGCATTTACATATTAAATCGTAAGAATAATCAATATTAACAAACATTTGCATATATAAGTATCATATTTTTCTCGTCAATTCTCAAATCTTCGTCAACTGAATAGTCACATTTACTATTCGTTCACAGTTCGCAAAATATTGTTTACCCGTTTTCTTTGAGAATAATAATTTTTGAATTTTTTAAATTATCATTTATCGAATAACGTAATGATATAATCCTTATAATCGCGAGAACTACCTTTACAAAAGTTTATTCAATCTTGACGTATAATGATAAGTAGTAATTCTACTATACGATATTTCTTATAAGTCATTTTTGTCAATATTTTATCTTTTTACAGTTTTGTTACTTCCCTTCTTTATTTATTAGATATCTTATTATTGTGCCACCTTAATATATTGCCATAGGAAGTACAAAGGTGAATTATATTCTGCATGTGAAATATATACATGCAGTGACTCATACGCACAAATGTGCGTGTTTTATCCTCTTTGTCGTCATAAAACGAAAATAAAACTACGGTGATCATTATTAAATGATCGTTCTCTTTATGTACATATAAAATTCTTACGTACAAACAAGAATATAGATTCTTTTATATTTTCATCATACATAAATATAAAAAATATGTGCAGCAATTTGCACCTCTTTACAACATGATTAAAGTAAATTAACTTTTCTTAATTTTACATCGTATAGCACAAATTTGTTCGATATTAATTGGAAACAAATTAAGTACTAAAGATTTTAAAAATGTTAAAATGTCATATTGTCATGTGAGCAGCTTAATCGGAATGTTACAATATGTTACTTACTTAACATGTCATTAAGTGAATACTGATTTAAACAATTTTTTACGTTCAACTAATGTCCATATTGTTCAACTAAAATAATCTAAAGCATTACAGACGAGATTACAGCTTTCTTTAATAAGTAAAAAGTTACGTAATGACTTGTAATGTATTTACAATTAGTAAAAGTTGTGCCTAAATGACGAAACTGTCATAAAGTTAATAAACAACTAAAATGAACTGATTCGATCCATTGGTACGTTACTTTGTACGTGAATTGCGTCGCGCCTAATTAAATTTTGTCATCAACTGCTGCTACCTTTGCTCCATGGCTGTTCCGTAGCGGAAGCAAACATTAAATAAAAGCAATTGGTTGCCATATTTATTCCTGCTGCCAGCCAAAATACTGTGTGCCAACGAGCCAGCGTCTCCTGGGACATTCATTTTTAAGGATTGAGCATACAATAATGTAAAATATAATATTATTTTTATCAATTTCATTATACTAACGTGTCCTTGGACCAGCCTTCCAATTATGTATGGAGCTAAAAATCCGCAGGCGTTTGACGTAGCGTTTGTAAGTCCGTAAAGCGTTCCTGCGTATTTTGGCGCTAAAGCAATATGATTCATTTGATTTCCTGCGTAAACAGCACCTTGTAACGATCCTAATCCAGCGAGCATCATCATAACAGTCATACGGTCGCACTCAGCCCAGATAGCACCGACAAAACTGAGGCTGGGTCCTAACGAAGCCACTGTGTTCCATAACTTGAACGACGCTAAAGGAGATAGAAGCCCACGGGAAAGCAAGGCATCTGCGAAACTTGAAAGGCCAAGTCCGACTAACCAAGAGCTTAAATAAGGCAGTGCTGAGAGGAATGCGTCTTGTTGTACATCAAAATGCAAAATTTTATCCATATATGTTGGCAATTCCGTTAAAAGTGTGTAAAATGCCCACGCCTGTCCACACTGTGTAACAGTTATAGCCCACATGGGCAGCGACGTGAATATCGATACCCAAGGAACTCCTGCATCGTTATCCTATTTTTCAAATAAATTCAATTAATAGTTGACCGACTAGAGAGGTACAAATCGATACGAATGATATTGAAACGAACATCGTCCACTTTCTCCACACTAGCCTCGATGTATGCTCTTTCGAGAGGATCAATTTTTGGATGTTGCGCAGGTGTATTAAACACGAATAAGAACCAAAATGCATACCACACGATACCAAGACCTCCGAATAAATAAAATGCGAGGGGCCATCCGCCCCAGAGTTCCAATGAACATAGCCAACCGCTTACCGGTAGCGAGATAACAGTACCAAAATTTGAACCTATCGATTAGAAGTAGCTAAATAAGATCTAGGTTTCATTATTTATGATACAACCATAAAATGCAAGAAATTAATTACCCGCATATACTATAGCAGCAAACTTGCTTCTTTCTAAAGGAGGCACCCAATGCGCTAACATACTATGCATTGCAGGGAATGTAACACCCTGTTTATAAAACGGTGCAAAATTATGTTAATTCGTTTGTCATATGCATATTTTTATGGAAGAAGCAGGAGTTACCTCCGTAAAACCTTCCGCGACTCGTACAGCTAAGAATGGTAGTAATCCTCCGTATGCCGCGAAGGGGCTAAGTACAGTCAGTACGGCGGTAAAGAATACTCCTAATCCGAATATTAGTTTTCCACCGAATTTCTCTGCCATTCTACCACCCGGCACGTTTGTAGTTACATAACCGATGAAGAAAGCACCTAATATGACTCCTTGTGTCCTTTCATCCCAATTAAATTCTCCTGCGCTCTTTAAAAAGTACATGTAATTAAATGAGATTAATTCGTAATAAAAGATTCTATCATAAATTTTATTTTATTTTCATCTTAATTTTCAAAATATATTACTTTATGCATAGTACGATAAAACCAGAGGAAGTAGGCATTAGAATGCACAGTTGTCCTTGGAATGAGATCGTGTTAAAAGCGATAAGTTTTGTATGAGTAATAAAATGATAATAAAGAAACGACTAGTGTTGATATTTGATCTCAATTCACATCGCGCGTGTACACGGTGTATTAGATCATAATTGTCCATACTTGTAACTTAATGTAACATATAATACATATCTAATTTCAATAATTATCTATATTACATACGAATTTTGAAATATCAGAAACAGGGCATACCAGTAGAAAAATGTTTGTAAATGCAGTATAATAATACTCACTGGTATGAATGTTCCATTAATGGGTTTGTGATTATGGCATACGTCCGCTGTATTATTATCATCGTTATGGGGTATTGCTGTTTGATTAACCATCGAAACAATAGCTACAGATAAATTCACTCTCATAGCATATACAAGTGCAAAGCCCAGAAATCCTAAAAAGCCTAACGTATGCCTTGCTTTTATACATGATTTCGTATCAGGTGGTGCATCAAAGGATACGTCCGACAAAGTAACTGAAAGAAAATTTGCTATTAGATCTAGATAATTTAAGGAAAATCATATTCTCATCCGTTAATTCTTTTAGAACAAATTAAATACGATAGATAACTATAATCATTATACTAATTACATTTCTTCTATTATATTTTATAATCAGAATATTAAAAATGATTAAATTTACCGACTGACTTTTAAGTACATTCTGCAAAAATATAAAATTTGTTTGTGGCTTTTTATCTTCTGTTTTAAATTTTAGAATCTACTCCAATTTTCATATGTTAACTCCTCCGTTTTTAATTATTATAAAGGTAACTTACAATACAAGCTACTCTCTGTGTAGTCTCCTTATTGTGTTAATTTCATTTCAGAAAATGCAAACGGAAATAAATAATATATTACATTGAATTACATTCCATATAATGGTGACTATTTAAGTACTGCTTCATTTTTCATGCAAAACATTTGACCTAACGATTGACTATAAATAAACTATAACTTGTAACATAGTAAAATGTCGCATAATGTAAGTACAGTACAACATAAAAAATATAAAATCGTAGGAGATGCTGAAAATTTTTAATACCTAAACCACAGCACCGGGCGATTTAGAATAGTACGATTTTAAAAAGATATAAATAATTAAAATAACATCAATATTCACGATACTGTTTGTCTGTTATTCTTAATTGGCATAGTATTAAAAACGAGCTGATTAAAAATTTGCACTTTGTAAAAAAGCTTTGACAATATTACAGAACGTTCGCGGACTAAATCAATAAGACTCCCATTAGTTAAAATACAATAAAATATTTTTAATACAAATATACCAATGAATAACTTGTTAATTACATTATAATT